TGAGTCACTTTGTAGCCCAGGCTGGCCTCGAACTCGCAACGATCCTCCTGCCTCAGCCTCCCGAGTGCTGGGATTACAGGCGTGCGCCACCACGCCCGGCGCCCGAATGCTTTCTGAGAGCGGAGCCAGTTACCTCCACGCGGATCTAGGGGAAGGGAGGGGCGAGCGAGCAGTTCCGAGGGCTGGGAGGGAGAGGCTCCAGGCCGGCGGAAGGCAGGTGCCAGAGCTCGCGGTGGGGCCCAGCACGGGGAGAGGCGGCCCTGCGGGGTTCCACGCAGGCGGACTTTGGATGCAGGGTGAGCGCGGAGAAGTGCACGCAGGGTTTTCCCACACGGAGGTTTCCTTAGCTGGAGGAAAACCTGCGACCTCACTGAGGCAGCGCCTCCTTCCCCTCCTCGCCTGGCCCCCAACTCTGAGGTGTCTTTGGCTTCTCTCTTGCAGCACGTGGTTTTCAGGGTCACGGCAAGGCGCAGATCCGTGGCTGCGAGCCTGCGTGCTGCCCCCTGCTTTTTTTTTTTTTTTTTTGGTTTTTGGTTTTTCTCTGGTACCGGAACCGAATTCACGACCTTGCACTTGCCAGGCAGGCGCTTTTGCCGCTGAGCTAAATCCTCAGCCTCCCGCCCCCTGCTTTTTGTGTCACTGGAAACGCTAAAGGGTTCACCAGCACTGGTCTAGATCCTGCTGCAGCCGCCCACCTCTGTGTCTGCCCGCGGGACCCTGTCTTGTGTACATTGTATTCTTGGCCCTTGCTGCTTTCATAAAGGAATGGGTGTTCGTGAGTCTTATCCTGGTAGTAATGCAGTGTTCAGAGCACTTTCGAGACTTTTTTGTTTTGAATTTGGAGGCAGAGTCTTGCTCAGCTACCTCTAACTTGGGATTGTCCTGCCTCAGCCTGCTGACTAGCTGGGATTACAGGCATGTGTTCCTGTGCCCAGCCATTTTAGAGATTAATAAAGAATCTACGCTAGGAAACAACAGCGAGGATACATTTTCCGCGGGTTTTACTGAAACCTTCACTGCTGTGCTTAGAGTTTCTTCCTGTGTTAATTCTCTCCTCTGCTCTGAAGAGCAGACTGCACAGGAGCGGAGGGGACTGTACTCAGAGGCGCCTGTCACGGACCGCAGGGCCTCCTGTCCCCGTGGGGGCTCCGGGTCAGGTCTCTGGGTCAGCAGGAGGCCAAGCGCTGGCTGGCTGTCAGCTACCTTTGTGCTTGTCCAGCCCGACGACCGAGGTACGATTGACGATGTCCCTGTGCTGAGAGTGACCCGCCGGGGGGCCGAGGCCGAGCACTTCACAGTGACACCGCTGGCCCCCGGGAGCCAGGTGCGCGTCTGCGTGGACTGGGAGCGGCGCTTTGATCACATGCAGCAGCACTCGGGTAAGGGCGTGGCTGGCACAGGCGGTTGCCGTGGTGATTGGGATGTAGTTTGGGGTCTCCTGGAGCCAACCCGAAGAGACCCATCCTCTGGATCAGCCCGGATTCAGCAGGATGTGGCAGACTGGGTGAAAACCGCAGGAACAATGGGAATGAAAGTATTTGCGTAGCTCGGGCCTCGGGGTCACCAGGGTCCCCTGGTAGCTCTGCCTGGCTGTCTCGCAGTGAGGTGCTCCCCGTCCGCCCCGTCTTTCCTTGGCATCCTGGTGCTTGGCTCCGTGGACGTTGTCACCTGGAGTTCACCCTGGATGCCTCCCTAGGGTGCAGCGGCTCTGTAGCCCCTGCGGCCTGGGGCTTTCTGTCCTGGTCCCAGCACTCCCTGTCCTTCCGTGCTCTGGCTGTGGTTGCCGGTGTCCAGCGGCTCCTCTCTGTTGCTGTTGCCTCAGCCTTATGGGGCCTGGACCTGCTGCTCCCTCGGGAGAGGCCGCCCGAGGCCTGTGACTGCGTGGAGCTGGGTACTCAGCGTGGCCGCAGGCGCGGCGCCTTCCTCCTGCAGACCATGGGGTGTCACGTAGCACTGCACTGCCTGCATCCTGGCTGCAGTGACGCCCCTTTGCCCTTAGTAGCCCTGGTTGTCCTTGCCCTCTGTTCCCCAGCTGCTGTCTTCTCTTCCTCTCTGCTCTTTGTGCCGCCCCTGGGAAGTTCCTCCGGGGTGAAGGGTCAGATGCACGGGTGGGTGGATGACCACCACACGGTAGCACCTGGATGCGCTGGCCCTGAATCAAGGCGGGCAGTTTTCTGGCACTGTTGGTTTCAAGCAGGAGCCTAAAGAGATGTCTTTCTTTTTTTAGGGGGGGGTATCGGGAATCAAACTCAGGACCTTGTACTTGCCAGGCAGGTGCTTGCGCCACTGAGCTATAACCCCGGCCCTAAAGTGATGTCTTCCTATGGTCTGTTGGCCATTTCAGAACTTGGGAAGTGAAATAGCCAATTCATTAGGAAAAAACCCAGCTTACTAAAAAATTAACTTATAGCCAGGAGTGGTGGCGCACGCCTGTAACTCCAGCACTCGGGCAGGCTGAGGCAGGAGGATGGTTGTGAGTTTGAGACCAGCCTGGGCTACAAAGTGAGCTGAAGGCCAGCCTGAACTGCATATTGAGACCCTGTCTCAAAAAGGCAAAAAAAAAAAGTACAGACTTAAATTTTCCTTGTTTTATTTACTTCATTTTAGAGTGAGATAAACACTTTTCAGCTATCTGCCACCGCTATTTTCTTTTAACTGTCCACAGAGAACCATTGTTTTAAATATTTATCTTCAGAGTTCTAATTGCTCTGCACAGGCATTTTCTGTATTAAGCACAGTAGTCCTTTATCAGATGTTTATCACAACAATTACTCCTTTGGTAGAATATTTAATGAAAAGAGGAGCTGGAGTTGAATCTTGCCTCAGCAAGCCCCGTGGCCGAGGTTGTTCGTGTGAAAGGGCCCCTTGGAGTCCGGGCAGGCGGCTGCAGTGCGCTTTGGGGCTGCAGGTCCTCAGCAAGGACCTCTGTTGAGCCCTGAAAGTCTGTGAGCTTATCTGTGCAGGGTGTGGAGCTGGGCTTGTTGCTTTTCCTTCTTTTTAAGGGAGGGTGGGCTTGAGACATGGTCTGACAGCGTGGCCCAGACTGCCTTACACTCGCCGGGTGCCTTCCTCAGCCTCCCAAACCCTGGGTCATAGGCACGCCCCGCCCCAGTGCCTGGCTGACCTCTCTTCTCTCCTGTCCCTTGCTTTTGTCACCCAGGGCAACATCTCATCACCGCAGTTGCTGAGCATCTGTTTGGACTGAAGACAACCTCATGGTGAGCCGGCCAGAGGACTCTCCGGAGGGTGCTTCCCAACATCCTGCCCTGTCCCCAAGCGTTTGGGAACAGGAGGTGACAGACAGGCTCCCCTCATGTGGAAGATGTGTGGGGAACGCAAGGATGACAGAAAGGATGTCTGCCTTCGTGTGGGAGAACTTGGGGTTTGGAGCCCAGAGACTGGGGCATATCCTGACCCCTCCGCTCTGGCCTCATGGCTGTGATCATGCCCCTGATGCCCTCACCTCTGAGGTAGGAAGGGTGGTCCCTACCTTGTGGTGGTACTGAGGATTGAACCCAGAGCCTTTTCACAGGGCTACATCCCCAGCCCTTTTGTTAAGACAGGTTCTTACTAAGTCACTGAGTTGTCCAGACTAGGCTGGAATTTGCAGTCCTCCTGCCTCAGCCTCCCAGAACACTGGGGTGACAGGCATGCATCATAATGCCTGGCCGTTATGGGGCTTTTGTGAAGATTAAGGGAAACTGTCGGTCTGAGTGGTTTCGCATGCCTTCTGCTTAGTGGTGAGCGGCTCCCCCCGTGCCCTGCTTCTTGGCAGGGAGCTGGGGAGGCTGCGGAGCGTGATCGAGCTGGACAGCCCCTCTGTGAGTGCCGAGCAGGCGGCCGCCATCGAGCAGTGCGTGAATGAGAAGATCCGCGCGCGGCTGCCCGTGAGCGTGCGCGAGCTGAGCGCCAACGACCCCGAGGTGGAGCAGGTGCGGGGCCGGGGCCTGCCAGACGATCACGCCGGGCCGGTGCGCGTGGTGACCATCGAGGGCGTGGATGCCAACATGTGCTGCGGGACCCACGTGAGCAACCTCAGTGACCTGCAGGTGGGTGCGGCGCTCCGAGCTCTGGACAGGGGAGGGGAGGGGAGGCAGAGGCGGGCTCCAGCCTCCTGCTTTGGGCTGCGTGCACGCGCGCGCGTGTGTGTGTGTGTGTGTGTGTGTGTGTGTGTGTGCGCGCGCGCGCGTGCGCGCTCAAGAGTCTATGCGGCCGCTTCCACAGGTCATCAAGATCCTGGGCACGGAGAAGGGGAAGAAGAACAAGACCAACCTGCTCTTCCTGGCCGGGCAGCGCGTGCTGCAGTGGGTGCAGCGGAGTCACGCGACTGAAAAGGCTCTGACCGCGCTGCTCAAGTACATCCTGTCCCCGTCCCGTCCCGTGCCGTCCTGTCCGCGTCCCTGGGGGTGGTCCCGTCTGTACCCAGCCCTGGACCCTTAGCTCTGCCCCTGCAGGGCGAACAGAGCAGTCCGCACGTCCGCGGGAAGACGCGGG